TGTCACTTTAAAATACAGAGCATACCAAAAATGCTCAAACAGAGAGGGGATTTTATCAAAACTAGCAGAGAAAATCTGGAGCAGCTGTGCATGGCAACCAATCAGCCTTTCTCTTCAGTTTGTTTAGTTAAGATTTGGACATGAAATATAGAAGCTTATTTGTTGCCAGGCACATCTACTCCTGATTTTCTCTGCTAGTTTTGAGAAATTCCCCTCTGTCTTTTTGAAAATTTTTGGTATGCGCTGTATTTTAAAGTGACACTAAATTCAGGAGTTAAATCTTAAAAATGCATTCAAGAACCTTAACTATTAACAAAAATGTAGCTTAAACTGGAGCAGCTGCGCATGGCAAGGAATCAGCTTCTATATTTCAAAATTCTATACGTTCAAATCTTAACAAAACAAACTGAAGAGAAAAGCTGAATGGTTGCCATGCACAGCTGCTCCAGATTTTCTCTACTCGAGTTTTGATAAAATTCCCCTCACAGTGTCTGACAGAAGGAAATTCCTGTTTCAATATTCAGATATTTCTCAACGAGATGCTGCAACAAGTCCTTGTTTTCCACAAATCATTATCCAAAATGTCGGTAGGGTTTAATCCCTCAAACTTGCCACTCTGCAAGCCTCAGTAAGCGGTTTAGCATAAAAAAAAAAGATGTGACTGTACCACACCCCATACAAAGCAGTGTAGCTGTAAAATCACATGCATGTCATCCGAGCAGTCACATTTCTTGGTGGAATGTAGTCAGATCATTCTCTTGCATGACCAGTCACTGCTCTTAGAGATAATATGTGTTAAATAATTTGTACTATTATCATTTTTTAGAAAGTGTTTTAAAAAGAGCCCAATGTTCAAAAAGGAGTGCCTGACATAAAAAGCCCCTAAAAATCTGATTTAACTACACAGCAGAGGAAACCCCTCTACAAAGGCAGTAGGCAATAATGAAAGATCTGTTACCCGTTGTATACAGCTCAGCTCTTTACTGCTCCCTCATTCAATCTGAATCATTTACACAAGGTACCACCATTATTATGAAGGATGAAGTCCAACAGGGAAAGCTTCTTTTCAAAAGCAGTCATGAGTATTTTAGAATTTGGTTTTCTTTTTGAACGCAGCTAGTAGCTGAATAGCTCTGTGTTCACCACACTAAAGGCACGTTTTGTTAGAATCTATGATGCTACACAATATATCTAGCATAACTCTGAACCTGGATTCACATTCCGATTAACCGATTAATCGAACTTAATAATCGTCCAACTAATCGATTTTGAAAATAATCGTTAGCTGCAGCTCTAATATCGCGAGCTTATACTGAGCTTAGGGTGATGGGAGGACGCTAGTTTGTGTCCTCCCGTTACCCTAAGGAGAACTATGGGGAAAAGCCCTAACCCCATAGTTCTCCTTTAAGATCAAAACCACAGTTTTTTCTGTTTTTATACAGCACACCATCATTACAAAATAAAAAAATGTCAGTTGTAACTTAAAATGTGAGTAAATATACACAACATCTTGGTTGTAATATGCATGGGGTGGTGACAGGGTCTCTTTGAAGGTCCAAAGGAAATGAATGGGCTGTTTGCACGCATCACATGTTGATACACAAAGAACAGTCTGAAAAGGTCCTGGGGTGGCCGTAAATAACCTGGTCCCACGCTTGACTTAATGGCCTTATGCAGCATATAGGTGAAGGTTTGGCTATTTTAGGGGACTAAAATTTATAAAATAATCCAGAGTAATGACCAGTATTTCCAAACATTAAAAGCACTTGCTGCATGTAGAGATTTTGCAATCTTGGCCACCAACTCCTAGTGCATGAAATAGGACAGCATTACAGCTGTCTAGCAGTTATCACTGTGCTGACACTGCTCTCTTCCTGTTACCCTGATTTGAGATTCTAACATGCAAGAAACATGGCAAAATTAAAGAGTAAGTGCACTTCAAGGCAAAGTGTTTGCCCTTTGCAATGACAAAGTAACGCACCTTCCCCGTCCACAGATTTATACTTACCGAGATCTGATGGCTATGGCCTCCAGTGCCCATTTATATACAGTGGCACGAGTCTTGATGCACTGGCCGCACATGTGTATTATAGCCTCAGAGACAGCATGAGAAAGCCCCATAGATGTCCATGGGGCTGTAATTTGCGGGCATGGCCAGGAAATAAACAAACACCGGGGGTCACTGGCTTTAGATTCAGGTAGGTATGCATCGGTGGAGGGTGGGTTTCTTTTAGAGCATTGCACAGCAGAATAAGTGCACATATCCTTTAATTGATTTAGGATGTCTATGGGCCATCTCTCATGTGCCTTCAGCATTGGGAGATGGCCCCAAAGACGTTTACATGGACCCAATGCCCAGGGGTGGCCAAAGGCAAATAAGATTGCCTGTACAAGCTGTAAACATTATAGAAAACTACAGCTGTCAGATTCATTTGAGCATGCGTCTGGGACAGGGAAGTGTTGGATACTTTTAAGCAGGGGAGCTAGGCAGATCGAATATTTGTGTACTTTTAGCTGAAATTACACTTTTTCTTTATAGGTCAGCACTATTAAAAGAAAAAAATATGATACAAAGTAATAACTGCAAATAACATGCACAATCTGAGCTCTGGTTTAAAATGATTGGGAAAATTTCAGGCAAGGAAGAGTTAGTTATAGGCCATTAAATGAGCGCTTCTGGGTGTCAGAAGTGCTCATGTCACCCAACAAGCTTCCAACAGAAGGGTGATGGCTCTTATACCAATGATCGTTTTTTTTTATTCAGTTGTAATGGCCATGTAAAAATTCCTCACTGACTAAATATTTCTGCAGAATTCCTGCAGTGTGTTTGAGAATAATAAATAAGCCAGATCCCCCCACGGGCTCTGCACTAGCATATCCTAGTGAGGTTCCAGCCTTGGCAGCATTATCTAATCAGTTCGTCAGCCATCCGTAAAACCCATGGGAATCAATCCAGTATATTATGTATGAAATTGGATGAGTTGGAAACACTTCTTGTTCAAAAACTGTGAAATGTTTACCGATCCTTCCCTGTGAAGAACAAACACAGAGTGATCAATACTGACCTTTCTTTTTTTGGCCTCAGACTTTAACGCGAGTGACTCGTTGGTTTTTAGGCCTAAAGAGCTTCTCCTCCAAAACTACATTCCATTGGCCAAAACAAAACTGCCTGAAGCTTGATACAGGTGCAAAAATGTCTGCAAACCTTAAAAGGTTCATAAACCCTCAGCATTTTTTGCATACATCTACTGCTAGCAAGCAGTAGATATATGCAAAAACATTTTTTTTTTAAAAAAGGTTAAAACTTACCTTTGTCTGCGCCACGCGCTCCCATTCCAACATCTGAAGAATCTTGGGTGGCCCCAAAGGATCTTGGAGCGGGCACATGCGCAGTTCAGATCTTCGGCCGGGAGACGAGGAGAGACACAAGGTAAGTCTATGGAGCAGCGTGCACCTGCATAGACTTCGTGGGACAGGAAGCGCCAGCTAACACACAGGAGTCAGCGCTAGATCGTAGACCAGCACCAGCACTGGAGGGACAACTGAAAACTACCATAAAGAAGATGATCAAATCAAGAGGCATCATTTAAGGTAAGTCTCTACAGCAGGATTGGGAAGGGGCAAGAAAAGGTTTGACTTTAATGTCACTTTAAGGCCTGGTTCACACTGAGTGTGTTGTCACAGCTGATTCAGCGCGACAAAAAGCTTGCGCCAAAAAATACCATTCATTCTTATAGCCCCTGTTAACACCTGAGCATGTCGCCGCAATAAGCAAAACGCCTGTCACTGGAAAAAGTACATGAGCTTCTTTTTGGTAGATTACGGCTCATTTTGTCCCCATAGAGTCAAAAGGAAGCACTTGGAAATGTGCGGTGCAATTGGTTTAGTGTGTTTTTGCCATTTACATAAGTGTGTCACAATCCAATAATAGAATGTATGCAAAAATATAGAGCAAAAAAAGTTTCTACACGCGAAAATGCTGTTGCCTAGGTGTGAATCAGCCTTGTAAGTGCCCTCTGCCTTGCCCATGCACTGTGGAGGTTAACTGCTGCTTAATGCCCAGGGGATGGGGATGCCATTACTTAGCCGATCCCCACTCCTCCCAGGCTGCTAGACTAGTCCTCACAGCCTCTTCTCCCTTCCAGCAATCTAAGGACTGCCATAAGCCTGCATTGTATGCGAGAATGCCAAGGGACAAGCCACAGCTGGAGCGGAGGGGTAGTAGAGGCGATTGCTGACTTTTGGGGGAGCAGGGAACAGGTAAGTAAACAGCTTTCTCTTGTCCCAGGAGGAATAAACAATCAGTTAAAGGAGAATAAATTGGGAGAGTGAAATGTGCTCATCCCCATAGTTAGAGCCAACGTGCGACAGCTGCAGTGTGGCACGTTGAAAACTGAGTGATCACAAACTGCTGATCACTCAGTTTACAATCTTCTCCCTGAGGAGAGTGGTGACAACCAGTAGAGGAGACACCAGTCGTGACTCCCCCCTCTCCGTTCCTCCAGTCTGACCAGAGGGAGACAGGGGAGAGAGAGGGCACAGTTGGGTCTGGCTCTAGGGAGGCAAAGCCAGCTGTCAATCAGGTGGTGGGGCGGATCCCGTCAGGATCCTTCGCGGCTCTGCGCTGTCAGCATTTAGTGGGCAGTTAGCCCCCCTATATGCTGAGTTTTGGGTAACAGGAGTACATTAGTATATGTCCTCCGGTGACCCAAACAAGAAACAAAGCCAAAAAAAGATTTAGCCTTAGTTCTCTTTTAACCCTTGCAGTGCAGGGGGCACCCCCACTTTAAGAATTTCCCTGGGGTTGGGCTAAACAAGAAAAACGCTTCAAAAGCACCAGAAAGATATTTTGCTTATCGTGAGCAATTCAAAAGGTTGCCATCACAAAGCAGAAACTGATTTACTATAATGAGCCACATTATTATGTTATGTCTGCCCTTATCAGAACCCAACTCTGTGCATGGAGTGTTTTACAGGACACCTCTGTCATTGGCACTTACCTGCAATGTCCCATAGCTGCAGTCTGACTAAAGTCTTGCCGTCCCAGTTGATAACTTTCAGAGCGAAATCCACTCCTATGGTGGCCCTGTAGTGCTGGGAGAAGAGCTGGTGAACGTAACGTTTGATGATGCTGGTCTTGCCCACCCCCAGCTCCCCGATCACCAGCACTTTGAAGAGGAATTCCCTGCGCTCAGGAACCCCGGCAGATAGCCCGAGCTCTCCGCTTGTCGCTTCCCCTGCCATGAAGCCTCAGAGCAATGCCAGCCAACGGGTCTGTTTGTATACACACACTATAAGGAAGTAGGAAAGGCTGCAATGTCCCGTCTACGCCTATGATTCACCATTGACAGCCGTGTGCGCTCTCTCTGCTGTGCATAGCAGCGACATGCCCGAAATTACGGCCACATAAAAAAAGTAACGCAATACTTTCTTCCAAGTGTTCTCCTCTTCTAGTCTCCCCTCCCAGACAGCCGGAGGACCAATCACCTGACCGCGTGTCACGTGACAGGAAGCGACTCGCCGCCTCAAGCTGAGGAGGGAGTGGTGTCTTATGAAAGGCTGCATCCAGCATCGCTTCAGACGTGCTCTCTCCTTGCTTGTGACTATTCACTGCGAGCCGCCTTGTGTCTCTAGAGTTTGGCAGCTGTCAATTACTAGATGCCATGTCCTTTCTTTTCATAAAAATCTAAGTTTACTATCACCTCATGTAAGTCTAGGCAAACATTTTTATTTTAGGGCTCGTTCACGCCATGCGTGGCGAACACGCAGTAAATAGTGCCTGCTATATGCTGACAGCGCAGAGCCACGCTGCAGCCAGGAAATTTTCCCAACAATATTGTCAGGATCCACCCTGCTGCCTGATTGACAGCTGGCTCTGCTGTGCCCACAGCTACTGTAACAAAGGCATTGGGAATGTCCTGGTCACAACTGATTGGGTCGGGAGAGGGGTCCCTGAGAACTTTACCCAAGCACATCCCTCATCTGCACTGATTATCGTAGTCTCATCGCAAGGGAGGAAAGAAGACAATTGTATTCGATGTACCTTGTTCATACCACACAGCTGCTCTGAGGTCGATGGGTTGCACAGCTGAAAAATGCAGCCATGTTAGGCTGTAAGTGCAGGTCATAGAAATAAGTTTTCAACAAAGTTTAAAGGTAAACAGTGCTTTGTGTTGTAACAACGCAAGGCACTGCCCCTCACCATCGCTACACATTGTACATCAGACTGCACACTACTGTACAATGGCCTGTTTTAGTATGCAGGCTGGTGTGAGTAAGCCCTTAGTTTCGCATGGCACAGTTGCGTTTTAAAACTTCTCAGGAATTTTTTATTTTTTGGCTGTCGGGGGGTTGGGATTTCCCTCTAAATTCATATGATGTAGACACAACAAGAAGTGAAAGGAAAACTCTCCAGTGAAAGAGAAATCCCCTCTCAGACAGCTGTCACCGGTACAACTGTCTCTAAAAGAAGATTTCCTCTTTCTATTCCTGTTCTGGTGGCGACTCCAAATTTTGGATTTTCCCTCATTTTTAGTACTGGGGACAGGAGTCAAATAGATGAGTGAATTTCCCCAGTGTAGTCATGGACAGCAATAAAAACCTGATAGGGATTCTAATCCTATCCAAAAAAGTAGGAGTTTTGACTTAACTGTAAATTCCTTTTCTTGGAATACTGTACAGGACACTAAGGCCCCATTCACACGTAGCGATTTATCACGCGATTTCCGCCGCGATATTGCGCATTTTTGCCGCGCGATATCGCGAGAAGTCGCCGGCTAATGATATTCAATGGAGCTGTTTTAGCTCCATGTCGCGCGTCGCTTGTCGTGGTCGCAAGTTGCTTCTACAGGACCCTTCACGCCAAACTCGCTCATCCATGCCTTTATGGACCTTGCTTTGTGCACTGGTGCGCAGTCATGTTGGAACAGGAAGGGGCCATTCCCAAACTGTTCCCACAAAGTTGGTAGCATGAAATTCTCCACAATGTCTTGGTATGCTGATGCCTTAAGAGTTCCCTTCACTGGAACTAAGAGGCCAAGCCCAACCCCTGAAAAACAACCCCACACCATAACCCCCCCTCCACCAAACTTTACACTTGGCACAATGCAGTCAGGCAAGTCCCATTCTCACGGCAACCGCCAAACCCAGACACGTCCATCAGATTGCCAGACAGAGAAGCATGATTCATCACTCCAGAGAACATGTCTCCACTTCTCTAGAGTCCAGTGGCGGCGTGCTTTACACCACTGCATCTGACACTTTGCGTTGCACTTGGTGATGTAAGGCTTGGATGCAGCTGCCCGGCCATGGAATCCCATTCCATGAAGCTCTCTACGCACTGTTGTACGCACTGTGCCAATCTGAAGGCCACATGAAGTTTGGAGGTCTGTAGCTATTGACTCTGCAGACAGTTGGCGACTTCTGCACATTGTCCACTTCAGCATGCGCTGACCCTGCTCTGTCATTTTACATGGCCTACCACTTCGTGGCTGAGTTGCTGTTGTTCCCAGTTGCTTCCACTTGGTTATAATACCACTAACAGTTGACCGTGGAATATTTAGTATCAAGGAAATTTCACGGAACGCCTGAATCCAATGTTTTGGAGGGGTGTCCCAATACTTTTGGCAATATAGTGTTTATATGTTGATGATATTAGTTGTATTATACAATTTTAATAAACAATGTACACAATAACATATATTTTTTATATATAAATCGAAGTGGTCCTGGTGGTTCCTAAAAAGTATGTTTTGCAATTCTTTCTTAACCTATTGATATTAGGATGTGGCACTGTCTAAACCCCTGTGCATTCCTTTACTAGTCAAGCTATAAAAGTCAATGCCTAAGAAACAGGTTGGTGAACCGATCCTTGAGACAGAAAGCCTGGACTGTCTGGAAAGGACAATGGAACATCTGCTAGGAGTCTGAGCATGTCCAGGTACCATGTCCTCCTGGGACCAGTGCGATGCAATGAGAATCACCAGAATGCTTTCCACCGCGATCCTGTGGAGCAGATGAAGGAGGATTTTCAGAAGGGAAAAATCTTACAGTTGGTTGAACTGATCCTACAGAGTCATCAGAGCATCCACTGCGAAGGTCTGAGGATCCTTGGTTCTGGCGACAAACCTTTCCAGTTTGTTGTTGAACCTGGGCGCCAGGAGGTCCACATCTGATGTTCCCCACTTTCGAGAGATGTTTCAGGACCATTCCCTTGTGTCCAGACGCTGCTGATTAAGAAACTTCACCCGCCAATTTTCCATGACCGGGATGTGCATAGTGGTCAGGGCCGGAATGTGAAGCTCTTCCCATGTCAGAATCAAGCTTACTTCCCAATAGAGCTGCACTGCTTCTTGTCAGGTGACCCTGCTGTTGAGGGGTCGACTGTTGTAGGCACAGCCAAATGGCCCTGAGCTCCAGAATGTTGATCAAGAGTCGAAATTCCTTTGATGACCAAGTCCCCTGAACAGTTAAGTAATCAAGGACTCCTCCCCAACCTGACAGGCTGGCATCCATTACAAGCATCCCCCAAGTGAACGGGAAGGTTTTTTCAGACTCCATTGCTGAATTTGACATCCACCACGTCAGAGACAGTCTGGCTTTAACAGTCAAGCATATAAAATGATCAGAAGACTGGTTTCGCTTTTTCTGCACAGCCAGAATACTGGGTTATAACAGCCTGGAGTACAAATTGGCACTGTCAGGCCCAGAGCCTTCATGCAAAGGAAAATGGTCTGTTCCTGGACCAAAGGGTCTGAATATGAAGCTTGTTCCGAGGGAGAAAAACTCTGGCCAGAGTCGTATCCAGAACAATGCACTGCTAGTTGAATGTAAGCTGACTGAGCAATCCCTTAACAGGAGGTTGTCCAGATACCCAACAATGTGGACAGCTTGAACCCAAATTAGAGCAAGTGTTTCCAAGAACCACCCGCATCCATTATGGTCTGCAACCTTCCAATGGTGGTGGTGCTCTGTTGATCACACGGATGGCGCAGTGCAAAGCTCAGAATAGTCTCAACAGGTCACCGGCACACACACAGATTAATTCAATATCTCTTAGATATGTTTATTGAAAAATGTCAGGGCATGTCAAAAAGCCACAGGAAGGAGCTACAATTGTCAGAGAGCAGACAGATCTGTGAAAAAGGAACAAAGATCCCAGGCCATGCCATAGTCCAGGCAGCCAGTGTCTTAGTGCCATGGAGGTGACAACAGGTTAGAGGCCTTGAAAAGGGTAGAGACCATTACATCTTCCCCAGAAGATCTTTGGAGACCACAACATATAGAGAGAGGTGTGCTTGATTAACCTCTTGCCATCCGCCCGTTAAGAAAAAAAGGACGGATTGTCAGTCAAAGTACCGCAGCGCTGAATACTGAAAAATGGCCTGGATGGGAAGGGGGTTTAACACCGCGGATGTCAACTGGTTCAGGAATGGAGGCTTCAGAAGTGGGGAGTGATTCTAACTGCAGACAGTAATCAGTGCTGACCATACAGGTGTCACAGCCCTCCATTTATAGTTGCAACACACTGTTTAAAGTGTCACAGCCTGCTTTTCAGACAGAGTGCTGAGCCCATGCCCCCAGTGATCTGCAAGGGGAACAGAGTGACCGCACCTCAGGACGGTAACTCAGGGCACTGCCCTGACTTGCCACCACCTCGAGACAGGCCAAACAGGCCCGCAGGATGAAGGGGGCAAGTCCCATCCAGCCTTTGGCCTTCTTGGCGGGCATACTTTTGATGTGGTCTTGAGGGATTTTTTTGTACAATAGTTATGGAGAAACCCATAGAGAGCTTTATACAAAGCTACAACTGTACTTTAAATAAATACAGGCAAGCGTGAATAGGCCCTTAGACTGGATTCACACCTTTCTGTGCACATTGTTATGTATTTTTATCATTAATATTTGCGCTTTCATGTGTTACCATTGCGATCAGTGCATCAAACAACAGGCAATGCACAATAATACATTTCATTGATGTGAGCAAGCACAATTAGAAACAATGGCTAAACTTTGTACATATGCTCACCTGCATCAAAACACATACATTAAAGCATTCTTGGCACATGTGCAGTGCATTATCAGATGCACGTTCCTGCATTCCTGCTGAATCACCTGAAATATTCAAGTCATGGGTGGCCCTGTCAGCACCATCCAGCTTGACAAATTTTGATTACAACATGAATTATTTCATTTATAATTTAAGTAATAATAAAATAAAATTGTTGCAGAACAGTGACAACATCCAATCAGATGTTTTCACTGTTTGGGTTTTCAGACAGCCATGGGTACCAGCTGCCTGAATACAATAGCCAGCCTGTGAACTAACTATGTATGGCTAGCTTTTGTACCTAAATCAACCTTCTGTAATTACCTGTACAGCAACATCGGGAAATTAATTTCCAGATGTACGGGTCCATAAGATATGATAAGGAACATGCTGA